CCCCCCCCTAGATCTTTATATATTCGGTGCAAATATCTTTATAATTTCAAATTCATTCAGGAAATTATAATATTATAATTATTAAGATTATTATGAATAATATGAATATATATGTACATATACATTATGTTTTTATATTAATAGTTTTTATATTTTAAGTTTCTGAGAAAGTTTTATAATAAAAAAACACCCTTTTAAGCCATTTCACAGCCAATTTCAAGATTTTTTTTACCAGGAAGGTCTCATTGAGATCCAATATCTCTTCTACCAGGGAGTCCTGACAGGCAGTACAAACTAAAAGTACAAAGTAGTACATAACACAACGTACTAAACATATGAAACTACCCATATCAGAGAAACAAAACAAATCCTAATCAACTGTTAAATCTGTAAATATATGTGTATATAAAATGGCTAGAACGATTGAGATATATTTTTTATCAGCTATATCGCCCAGCCCTTCCAAACCAACACGGTCATTTAGTGTATTATTCAGACCCGAGCTGTTGTTGTTTATCGCCTGTGCGTTTCGAGAGCCATTTATTTCTCAGACCTCACCAGCTCATTAACATGCAAATAGCGCATATGTTTTCATTTTCCAGCACAGTAATCTGGTGCTGTTTATCCAATCACCAACTTTTATTTTACTAGCCAGCGCCTGAGAGCGAGAGAAAGAGAGATTGTGCTTCGAAGCATGCACGCATTTTGAAGTGGCCACTAATCACAGATTGCAAACTCGAGTGTAGTCTGGAAGTGCCTGGCCCCCATTATGGCGCGCCGCTGCCCTCTCCGAGCCCCGAGTTGTGTTTCTGGCCCTGGGCTGACCTGTGGGCTAATTCTGGCAATCAATATTTTAAGTGCTTCCTGATTCACTTCTATCACATCCTGTGGCACAGATTTGGATATGTGATTAAATTAATAGTCTGAGAATCATTGCAGAAAGTAAAATTTGTAAAAAAAAAAAAAAAACAGACTGATTACTGATTGTTAATTGCTAAGTGTTTTAATCTCAAGCCAAATGTGGAAAGTGTATTCCAGAATACTTCACCGTTATGAATATCATTGCTTCGATAAAAAAAGGGGGAAAACAACAATAATAACTAGGCGCCGGGTGCCCTCACTGATTTGTGTTTAAAAGGTTATAATCAAATGCTGCTTCGCTCAGACCAATGTTCTCCTTAACTAAAAACCTTTTTAGTTAACATAAGAAAAATCACTCCATTACAGGGCTAATAGTTGCCTTCTATGAGACCTGGCGCAGTAGTGGATGTAGATGGTTGAAAAAACAGACTTTTTGGTAATTAATTATGCACTGATTTATTTTTTGGGGTGGGCAGAAATCTACAAAATTCTGCAGAATGAGTGCTTATTAGTACTAGAAAGCACATTCTAATTAGCCCAATATTTGCATGTCAATCTCACTGTAAAATGATTTATTGGTTTAAAGGAGTAAATCACTTTTTTAAAAAACTTTTGCTGATAATTTACTCACCCCCATGTCATCCAAGACATTCGTGTCTTTCTTTCTTCAGTCGAAAAGAAATTAAGGTTTTTGATGAAAACATTCCAGCATTTTTCTCCATAAAATGGATTTCAATGGGAACCAAACCGTTCAAGGTCCAAAAGACAGTTTCAGTGCAAACTACAAACTGTTCAAAGGGCTTTAAACGGTTCCAGACGATGAATAAGGGTCTTATCAAGCGAAACGATTGCTCAATGAAAAAAAAAAATAACAAAGTTTAAGTTTTATAAGCTCAAATGCTCGCCTTGCTCTGTTCTGTGATGCGCGTTTGTGACTCACTCTGTTCGAACTCGTTCATCAAAATGAACGAATCTTTTATCGAGTCAACTCATTCATTTCGTTCGTTGAATGAACCAATTGACACGAAAAAAGGTTTGTTTATTTGTTTGATCAACATCTTTTTGATTCCGGAACAAAATTACAATCAATCAGTCAGATTTGAGTTTACAGTACACTCTTAGAAGAAAAGGTTCTATATAGAACCTTAAAGGGTTCTAAAGTGCTACGTATTTGGAACCCCTAAAATGCAATGCATGTGAATGATCACAAAATTCAAGATATAGTGGTTAAAATATGTAATTAATATCACACGAAGAGTGCCATTTCAGTTTTTATTCTCCCAAAAATCTGCATGATTAAAATGTGATATTAAGTTACTACAACAGTTTAATAAACAACTACAAAATGTTGCAGAATAATGTAATATATGAATGAATGATAGCCTTTAAAGAACTTTTGTGCCAAAAGTGTTCTTTCTTGTCATTATTGAAACTTTTTTAGCATAAAATGTCATTTGAAGTTGAGTAAAGAACCCTATGCTACATATATAGAACCATTTTTTCTAAGAGTGTATGTCAAGTTTAGGCTTACAGCAATGCTTAGGACCATCTACATCAGTGTTATTCACATTTCCGCCTATTTTAGGGCTAGGTTATGGGATACGTTTTTCTTACTGGGCAAATTCACGGCGACCAAAATTCAAAGAGCAGCCCGTCTGGTAATTTCTCAGACTAACCAAGAAGTTGACATATTCTCCATTCACAGCTTCCACCGTAGCGCTGGCAAAACGTTGATTCGCCCGCCGACTCTGGCGACGTTCCCAACACTCACCAGTGGCACGTTGCCGTTCTCTAGCGGGTTTGTTTCACAAGCCGCCTAATCAATTGGAAGGCAGCCCTTTAGAACGGAGCCTGGCACGCGGATACATTCCCCCATTGTGTCGTCTGTGGCGAACACAAATAACACGCGTCACTCGCTGTCTTGAAACAGGAGGGACATTAAACAAATTGTACATTATTGTGTGAAGGGCAGCATGCGCTTTGTGTTTGTCATACGCGTTTATTTGTGTCCGTGCTAAAATGCTGCCAGGTGGGAACCCCATTGTGTTTGGCTGACAAGTGGTGTTAATGAAATCACAGACGCCTGTCCGGCAAATAACAGGAAAAGCGCCAGAGAGACGCTTTTACACCGAGACACAGTGTGCCGACGCTGATACTAATTTACTCCACACAGAGACGAGAGGGAGAGGGACTAAAGTCATTCATTACCCGTCTGATATCGGCCCGGAGGATGTAAATGACTGATTCTTCTCTCCGCGGTAGAACTGTAGATAAGCAGGAGGACTGATAGGCCATCACAGACACAACAACAGCGGCCCCGGGATGTTCACACGTCCTCGCAGACAAATTAAGGCCGCGCCGGTGCTGCGCGTCATCGTCTCAAGCATGTCAAGAGATTCATCACTGCCTGCATGAAACAGGGAAAGCACACACTTATTTACATACTCTAATAATGTTTGGAGGCCCCAAAGTTTCAGATTTTTGGCCCCCAACACTGTAAAAAATCTCCCTGATTCAACTTAAAGGAGTAGTTCACTTTTCAAAAAAAAAACTTTTGCTGATAGTTTACTCACCCCCATGTCATCCAAGATGTCCATGTCTTTCTTTCTTCAGTCGAAAAGAAATTAAGGTTTTTGATGAAAACATTCCAGGATTTTTCTCCATATAACGGACTTCAATGGGGTCCAAACGGTTCAAGGTCGAAATGAGAGTTTCAGTGCAAACTGCAAACTGTTCAAAGGGCTTTAAACGATTCCAGACGACTTATCAAGCGAAACGATCGCTCATTTAAAAAATAAATAAAAAAGTTTAAGTTTTATAAGCTCAAATGCTCGCCTTGACTCTCGTTCGAACTCGTTCATCAAAATGAACGAATCTTTTTCCGAGTCAATTCGTTCGTTGAATGAACCAAATGACTCGGAAAAAGATTTTTTACAATACATATTGTATCAAAGCAGCTTCACCGTGATAACATGAAAATAATACAACAAAGTTTGTTTCTAGAAGAAAATTGCGTCAACGCCTACCTTAAAGGTGCATTATGCAAAATTTCATGTTAAAAATAGCCGTTTTTCTAACTCATACATGCTTAAATGATTGCCTGATGGGCTGAATGAGCCCATAATATAATCGCCTCTATAATCCTGTACAGTAAAATAAATAAGAGGGATTCGGGACGGAGTTTGAGACTGGGCGTGACCACACTCGCCTGGCGATGTCTGGCAGGTTTGTGTATTCGCCGCCATTCTCCGTATCAGCGAAGACAGCTCGAGCGACACAACTTTAGTCAACTTTCCACAAAAGTAGAAGATGGATTCAAAGAGAACGGCTTGTAGTTCATTCCAAACCCCAACGCAAACTCCACGTGAGACAAAGAAAGTAAAACTTTTGTCGGAATAAGACGAGATTCAACATCGGGAAGCTTTCGACAAATGGAGAGATCTCCGCTCTGCTCTAGGGCTCAAACGGGTCCTATACGAAGTTATATTATTCATGAATGTGTTTCCATAATAATACAATCATAAGTGGATACAGTAAGCACATAAAACAGTTGGAAAGAACAAAAGATGGAAACACAAACCAAAGTTTTCTACTACCCCTGTTTTCCCCTCACACACACACACATAAGTGTGTAATTTACTCAAATGCCTTTCCTTTCATATATTTAAAATGACTTGCAGTTTTATAACTTTATTACCTCTGAAGACGTTATGGCCATAACAAAAGATTTGTGCGGCTGATGCTCCTGACAGCAAGCGTGCGTGTGTGTGTGGTACACACCTCTGCTTGCAGTTTCGCTTGTCACCAGAGGGGGCGTAGTTCTGCAAAAACTCAGAGACTTGCGCAACGCACCTTTAATTAAGGCAGATCAATAATGTTGTTGAATATTAAATGTCCACAACTAAGCAAGCCAAAAGCCAAGGCAACCTACATTTTGTCATGAAATGTTGCATTTTGTATTGTCAGAATGAGTTAACAACACCCCTGCACTTCCTGTTCATGTTAGTTAAAGCTCTAACCGCTAAATTCGAGTTACACAAACACTGTCTTTTACTAGCTAAAGTGAAGCAAGATTGACCTCCAGGGTTAACAAACATCGCAGCCATGATCAGGCCCGCTCGGCCCTTGCATTGTAATGGCCCAAAGTCCCGTCTCCACACCTTTGCTAATTGCTGGCGGTCGACACACGTCGTGTGCTGAGCTGTGCCTCTGCCGGTGGGCTGAACACTTCTGGCCCTTAACGAGGGGTTTGGGCCTCTGTGTCCGAAAACAGCAGTAATGGGGGATGTGGACAGAGAAACAGCATTAATTGGCACGAGTGTTTCTCTTGCAGCATTAAGATCACTGGGATTCTTCCGTGTGTTTCATAATACCTCTGAAAGCGTCTTTTATTAGCCAGGACACATTCTCTTATTAGATGACTGTGCAGATCACTTGTTCTGCCATCCAGAATCAAGCTTACCTTCACTCCAATTAGAGGCTGATGGAAGGCAGGTTTCGTCTCTTGTCAATCTCTTTCCCGCTCACTGCCACTTTCTCTTGTTTTTTCTGTAAGAACAGATAAATATACTGAGCATTTTAGAATGGCGTTATTTTATTTTCATTTTCCCCTACATTCACATTACCATACTGCCATTCAAACGATTTATTTAGGTTTTAAAAAAGCTGCATTTAATTTGAATGCATCAAACATATTGTAAACAGTAACATTTTGATGCAATTTACTATTTTTTATATTTTAAAATGTAATTTATTCCAGTGATCAAAGATGAATTTACTCCATTTTTTCCCCATTACTTTTGTACAATTGTAGGACTGTCATGAAAATAATGTAACAAAGCAAAAAAGTATGATTTTGGTTGTTCTAGACCCTTTTTAATGTGATTTCCCTGTAAAATAGTGAAGAAAAAAACAGTAACACTTTACAAAAAGGTTTGTTAGTTAACACATGAACTAATAATGAACTGCAAGTATACGGCATTTATTAATCTTTGCTAATGTTCATTTCAACAACAATTACTAATACTTCATTAAAATCTTGTTAACATTAAAAATTCGCTTTGAAATTAATTTTTGGTATGTTTTATCTTACCTCAAGGGTTCAATTTTGATATTTTTTAGGTCAAACCGTTCTTGTCTGTCAGTCATATAATGGAGGTCTATGGTCACCACCTCAAAGAGCATGCACAGAGAAGTCCAAATTAAACATGATTTAACGATTTGTAAATGTAAGTACACGTTGATGCGGAAACAAAGACACCTACATCTCGGATGTCCTTGAGGTAAGCTAAAACATAGCAAACATTAATTTCAAAGTGAATTATCCCTTTAATACATTAATGTTGTTAACTAATGAACCTGATTTTAAAGTGTTACCGAAAAAACAAATGCAGCTGGTTTAAAGCAAATCTGCTCTGAAAGGCAGCAAAGAAAATCCCGGCACAAGCACGCGTTCTCCAGCGTGGAAATCAAACACCTGACGGCTGAAATGAAGTTCTTTCATTGCCTGGCTTTATATGAAATCCATTTATTTGTGGCTTTCAGTGTAAAGTTACAATAGAGCACACGGCGGGTCACCTTTGCAACATCTTCATTTGTCCTAAACTTCTCCCAGAATTCTTTGCAGGACCACTATTAGAGGACACACACCCTCCAATACTGTTTTATTGTAAGAAAATGAAAGCGTCACAATCGAAAAAGTGCATGAGCAGCCAAGATGTCTTCACATATTCCCAACAGATGATGTTTCTGAGTCCTGTCATCTAATGAATGTCATATACTTGAGCTTCTTTAATGGGATCTGATCCCGTGTGAATATATATGGCGCATGTAGAGTCATGGTCAGCCAGCTCTGGAATAAATCAACCTCAATGTTTTCATTTCAGAGCCATTTGATCGGCATAATACTGTCTGCTTCCCAGATTCCTGGAGTCCATCTCGCACAGTGAAACAGTAATTACGGGATGTGGATCCAGCACAAACAGAAAAAGGTCTGTTCCCTCTGCCTTATTGGACAAATTTGCTCATATTGCCTTAAATAAATGAGCAAATCAATTCAGTGACTGGCTCTGAACTGCAGCAGTGCACACACACACACACACACACACTGTTATTAGCACTTTGGAGCCGCTGAAAGTTCATGAGCAAAGCCAGCTAACATTAATCAACCTACTGCAGAGACTGAGGGAGAGACTGAGGAGATCAGTGTGTGTGTGTGTGTGTGTGTGAGAATCCTGTATGTTTCTGAAAGCAGATGGAAGTGCAGGTGTCCATCAGAAATAAATCAAAAATGCCTGAATTTGGATTTAAAATGATTTAGGAAACAGGTTAAAGACATGTAATTCAATGTCATTTAGAAGTGATGCATTACAATGCATTACTTTTAATGGAAGGTGATTCACTACTTTTGCGATGCTTTTTCTAACCTGGGCTAGGCTCGCTTGTTTGCTTCTATTAACAAAAATAGTTATATTTTTTGGAAAATTAAAGGCTATTACAGGCCCTTTCATACTAAAAGTGAAATGAATAAGCCTCAGGCTGAAGGAAATGCTAATTCACGCCTGTACAGTAGAAAGCAAAGCTCATATGATGCAGGAGAAGAAAGTTTAACACTCTAACTTCAGTAATAAAACAAAATATGAAACACAAATGCGATGTTTATCTAAAGTCATTTTTTTGCTTATTAAAGGGGTGGTTTACTGCTTTTTTTTCTATGCATGATTGTGTTTATGGGGTGCAATATAACATGTATTCGTGGTTTTTCTTTTTTTTAAAAGTCTTATTTTTCATAAATTTCACATTTATTGTAAAGCCGCGTTCTCCTCTGTCATTTGAACGAGCGGTTGACTTCCTGAGTCTATGAAAACACTCCCTCAGAAACAGGCAGTGGGCTCAGATTGGTTAGTTTGGGCTGGTGTGTTGTGATTGGATAAACTGAGTAGTGCACGTTGTCCGGAAACTTAAAGATGAACTGAACTGAAAAATATTGACGTTGAAAACGTGTTGTTTATGACAATTAAAAGTAAATTACACTAAACATTTTTTTAAAAATATATATTAATATAGCTTTTTTAAGCAACGCAAAATTGCGCTTTATTAGCGCTGGCAGTTCCGATGACGTCACTGGCATGGTAGGACCCGCGGAGTGCCATAGACAACAGCTGTAGGTCCTGTATACACAGACGAAAATGAGCACTTTTAACGGCATGGATTACGCATTTGAGCCCGTGAGGGACAGGCCGGTAGTGTCTAACTACCACCACATGGAGGACGATCAGTTTCAGGCTTCACTTGCAGTACAGGATCGTTTGGGGGATAGTATGTGACTGTGGGCGCGAGCGCTGTGGAGCATAGACACTGCACGGAGACGATCTGTTGCAGAGAGGTCAACATGGACATTTTTTGATCGGCGAAAAATGCATCACCATGCACGGTTCATTTCGGATGCTGTTCGGTGAGAGAAACGTGTTGAAGGAGGCTATGCTGTCTCTAATGGATGTCCGAGCTGAGACGCTGGACCGCCCCATAAGTAGCAGGGTATTTTACGAATAGGTGACGGCTGGGCTAACTTGTTACACTTTTCTCAGATTGTTTAGATTAACAGCGTACTGGCAGTTCACTCTATGGGCGAGGGTGCATTTAGGAAGGAGAAAATCCCATCCTTTACAGTGAACTATACATCAGGGATCTTTTCCCCCTCACCCGAATATCAAGGATTCGAGTAACGTTAACGTGATGCATTGAACTTGTAACTTGTGTAAATAAAACATTTCATGCATTGTCAGACGTTTCATGTACTCATTGACGAAAGTACACATCTCTAAATAGTGTGTCGCTAAAATATCAGTTTCCTCAGCCATGTCAGCTAGCCTCAGACTGTTTACAAGCTACCGCTGTTCTGCTGGTGCGGGTAGGGTACGGAGTGGCTTACCATGCCAGTGACGTAGTCGAACGTTGAAATTCAACATGGCGGCGCCCGTGTAACAAAAACAACACTTTCAATTTTATCCCTTTTAACAAATTCTGCCATTTTAAAAATTGTACCAATGAGAATAAATAAAATACATCTGTTATATCACCTTTTCTCAAATTTCAGTTCAGTTCATCTTTAAAGGGATATACTCCACTTTTTTTGGAAATAGGCTCATTTTACAACTCCCCCAGAGTTAAACAGTTGTGTTTCACCGTTTTCAAATCCATTCAGCTGATTTTCTGATATTTAGAAGAATTTCAGTGACCAAACAGTTTCTGGTCTCATTGACTTTCATAGTATATTTTTTTCCTACTATGGAAGTCAATGAGACCAGAAACTGTCTGTTTACTGATATTCTTCTAAATATCATAAAATCGGCTGAATGGATTCGAAAATGGTAAAAACTCAACTGTTTAACTCTGGGGGAGTGGTAAAATCCCTAAATTTTGCTCAAATTTAGACTTGAACTGCAATAACTATCGCGTTCACACGGTGTATCCTGATTTCTCTCAACAGGAGAGCTGTCAGTCAACACATGTCACTTATATTACTTATTTGCAAAATAAACTCAGATATTATGTTGTACATTTAAAAAGTAATGTCAGTAACTTTAGGTACTTGAAAAAAGCCATCTGATATACAACATTATTCCAGTCTTCAGTGTCACATGATCCTTTAGAAATCTTTCTAAAATGCAGATTTGCTGCTCAAGAACCATTTCTTATAATTATCAATGTTGAAAACAGTTGTTAAATCGTTTTTGGAAATGGTAATAAATTTTTTTAGGATTTTTTGAAGAATATACAATTCAAAAGAACAGCATTTATTTTAATTTGTTTTTTAGATTCACACTGAGCTGATTCTTCCATTCTGAATCTGTCCTGGTATGTACGTGTTAGTTTGTGTGTGTGTGTTGGATAGCTAGACATCGTTTCAGGTCCCCACTTGGCATGTTTTAAAAAAAAAAAAAAGCATATTTAAAGTTATATTATGAAAAAAGACCTTAAAAAAAATTTTTGAATGTCATTTTTGTTTCTTCAAAATAATCAGAAACACTAGTCCCCTCTTGGCCAGTGTAGAGCGATAGTCCCCTGTTGGTATTATAGACGTGTGTGTGTGTGTGTGTGTGCACATGTGTGTTTTTCTATTCCCGTGGGGACTTCAACCTGAATTCACAGACTCATGGGGACTCGAGTAACTGTGGGGACTCTAAATTGAGGTCCTTGTGAGGAAACAAGCTTATAAATCATATAGAAAGGGTTTTGTTTGTGAAAATGTAAAAATGCAGAAAGTTGTGTGTGATTGGTGGGTTTAGGGAGTAAAGCTAGAGAATATACAGTTTGTACAGTATAAAAACCATTACGTCTATGGAGAGAGAGTCCCCACAAAGATAGCAAACCTGTGTGTGTGAGTGTGTGTGTGTAGGAAGAGCCTATTGTGTGCCTGTGAAGCAGATGGAAAGGCAGGCGTCACGTGAATTGTGTATGTGTCAGGCCGAGGAAAAAGACAGGAATGAAATAAAGAGGAAAGGAGAGAGAACGGGGGAAGAATAGATAGACTGATAGAGCCCCAGGAGTGCGCTGTGGTCCGACTCTCACCCTGCTCGCGGGCACGCTGTTCTCACCAGACATTATTTACCAGCGGCCCCTACTACAGCAGACAACCAATGAGGAGAGAGAGAGAGAGAGAGAGAGATGGTGGTCATGCGCTCATGTTTACTCACAGCTTTGGATGATGGACTCCATCAGAAAAGCTTCCAGTCCAAATTGGCTCAAAGCTTCTCTCACTGTAAACTCATCTGTTAAGACAAGACATGAGAGGAGATGAGAAATGCTTGGAGAAGGGAAAATAATGATGAGATGAGATGAGACGAGCAAAAAAAATAGAGGAGCGAGTAGATTATGAGAGGAGAAAAGTGGAGAGGAGATAAGATGACGTGAGATGAGAAAAAAAGAGGAGAGAAGAAGATGAGATGAGAGGGAAAGGAGGAAAAATTGACGAGAGGAGAGCAGATATGAGAAAAAAATTAGAAGAGAAATGCGAGAAAAGGAGCAAAGAGGGATTATGAGAGGAGAAAAGTGGAGAGATAAGATGAGAAAAAAAGAGGAGAGAAGAAAATGAGAACAGCATAGAGGAAGAAAAACTGACGATATATATATATACTTCTTATTTTTATCCATTACTTAGCACATTTTTGTAATATTTTATAGTTATTTATTATAATATATATATATATATATATATATAAATGAAGAGTTCAGATGAAAAAGCCTGAAAGTGCCATTTGAAATTTTCTTCGAGAATGATAATTTTTATCAAGGTTGTATATTTAAGTTCAGTCATTTCACTTAAATGACAATGAAGATCATTTATTAATGGTCATTTAAGTGAAATGACTGAACTTAAATATACAAGCTTGATAAAAATGATCATTCTAGAAGGCTTTTGCATCAGAACTCATATATATATATACATATACATTCTTAACAATCTTATTTTATTCATTACATAGCAATTTACTTAAACAGGATACAACAATATTTTCATCAGTTGTTATTGTTATATTGTATGCCATTACTGGTTGTGTGTACACTGCTTTGTATGTAAAACCAATCATGCCTTAAAATTGAATTGAGAAGAGATATAAAGACATGAGACAAGGAGGACAGTGTAGATAATCGCCTGACGCTCCTCGTCTCGTGTCGGTCTCAGTTCTGAGACGCAGACAGATGGACGGAGGGTGTTGAGAGGTAAAAGAGGAGAGAGAGAGAGATCTAATGACCAGCTCTTATGCATCAGTGCTCGTACTAATGAGCTTCCAGGGAGAGAGAAAGAGAAAGAGCACGAGCCTGAGGATGTGAAGGTCTGGCCGTCTCTCCCCCACCGAGATCTCTCTGCCTCCTCACTCTCAGGGAACCCCGACTCCAGCCGCTAATGAGAGAGAGACAGAGACGCAGAGAGAGAGAGAGAGAGGATGGCCACATTCCTTCACTCTTAATAATTTACATGGAATCGATTTCCTCCAGCACTTCCCTCACTCTTACCGTCATTCCAAATGGAATAATGCACATTCACTTGGAAAAATAGGGATTATGATCCGACAAAAGAGCTTACATTCAAACTAGTAGCGGTCGACGTACCTCAACTGCCCTGATTCTATCAAAATTTCCACATTGTTACATTGCAAATGTAATTTAATCCTGTTATCAAAGCTAAATTTTCAGGATCATTCATTACGCCAGTTTTCCGAAACATTTCTGATTATTATAATCAATGCTAAAAACGGCTTCATATATTTGTGGAAACCAAGAATAGGAAGTTCAAATAGAAATCTCGTGTAACATTATAAACACTGTATAAATGTGTCCAATAAATGCATATGAACTATAAACCTTTCCATGACTATTCCCTGACCCTTCCCATACACCAATCCGGCCCTTCCTGGCTGACGGCTGCTGTGTTTACCCATTTACAACACAAATTATGCATCCCTGGCTAGATTAAGAGCAGACACATTTGAAGCTTCCGTCTGTGTTTTGCAGGGAGGTGAACTTTATCTTCACCTGAATTGTTATGTAAAACACACTCTACCTGTCTGATCTCTCATTGACATGCCAAGATTCGGATATATTAATATTTCAGTGGAAATCTTTTTTTCTCCCTTCTGTTTTTCAGATAAAACAGTAAAATATACAGGAATGGCCAGACCAAAGGAAGCCTATCAAAGGTAGGAAAATAACAGGAAGAAAGGAAATGAATAATGTATCCAGCGTCCAGTTTAACCCCTCATCAGATACCGGCCGCGGGAAATTAGTATTCGTCCACTGTCAATGTTTCTGATCTGTAAACTCCACCATTTAAATATTCATAAACTAACACCATAGTCTTTACCTTAGACTGATTTATTATTCAAATGATATGAATGTTACATACCTTAGCATTTGCCTCTTTCTCCATCATGGCTAAGAAAAATCTGGATTTAAAAATTTGATAAAATATGATTTCCTTGTGGCTTCATCTGGGTTTGTTCAACTCTAGAGGAAAGAAATTCAACACTTTATTAGTATATGGGACTGTGAAGGAGAAGACACCAAAGTGACACAATAAATATAACACAATATATAACTGTGTTTCTGTTTAACATTCACTGCCCCCTTGTGGCGCTAAAACAAAAGAACACACTAATGCAGTTCAGATAACAAATCAACTTATTAAAGAGAGGAGAAAACAATACTACTGTTTTAAATGTATTTATGGTGAGCATAATTGGTTTTAAAAAAAATAATAACTATTTATGGTAGAGTCAATGTAGTCAACGCAGTGCTGAAGTGCCAGCTCCTATTACACTCTTTTCGTAGCACTGAATTAAAATTCTAGTTACCAATTTCAATATCACAACAAAATACTACTAGCCTAACAATAAAAAAGACAAGTAAACAGTCAGTGATCAAATAAGAATAAAAAATAATAGAAATTACAAGCAATTGGACAACAAACTACAATAGAACAAAGAAATGGATTTAGGGCTGTGCAAAAATGAATTGCGATTAATCGCATCCCAAATAAAAGTCTGTGTTTACATAATATATTTGTGTGTGCTGTATATAATTATTTTGTACATATAAATACACACACATGCATGTATATATTTAAGAAAATGTGTTATTAATATATAAAACATTTATATTTATATAATGTAGATTATGCATTTATATATATATATATATATATATAATTAGTTCTTAAATATATACATGCATGCATAGGTATTTATATATACAAAATAATTATATATAGCACACACAAATATATTATGTAAACACAGACTTTTATTTTGGATGCGATTAATCACAATTAATTTTTGCACAGCCCTAGATTTAACTAAAAAAAAGCAATCGAAATAAGAAATACTACATAAAATTGTAATCAAATATTAATCAAATGGAAAAAAAAAACACTGCATAGTATTCGGTGTGTAAATTGAATATACATCAAGAGCAGTGATAGATTTTCTCTCTTTTGTTTGTTGTCTGATAAATAATCAATAATTACATTAATATAGCGCTTTTCTTGGCACTCAAAGCGCTTTACCTAAATCAACTCAAATCACCAGCAATGTGCAGCATTCACATGGATTAACATTAATAACAGAAAGCTGCTGGTTTATTAGGCTGCTGTCACTAAAAGCAAATGCACGGATCCAATATACTCTTACACATGCGTTTACCTTCACCTAAGACATAAATTACCATTTACGAGGATACTTTTGTAGTGACAGGCATGTTGACACATAAATATGTGTATTTGACCGTTCAATACGGTTTTTAGCCCAAAAATAACTGTTAAGTACTCAAGCGCTTTAAGACTCATTAAGTCTCTCTGACACTTCAATAGTTTAAAATCACTTGTTTTTAAACCGCAATGCTTAAACGCATGTAAACAATAAGCTTTCGTCACAGCAACGTCAAGTGAGCTCTACCGGTTTACAAATTTCAACCAGTTAATCATGTCTACAGGTTTATTGCCCACCCTTAGCTCAGATAGGTAAGTAAAAAGGTTTATCAACTTTTAAAATAGAAAAGAAAACATCTTCCGAAACATTTACATTTAAATTTATTCATTTAGCTGACGCTTTTATCCAAAGCGACTTACAATTGCTATATGTCAGAGGTGGCACGCCTCTGGAGCAACTACACTCTCAGAAAAAAAGGTACAAAAGCTGTCACTGGGGCTGTACCTTTTCCTAAAATGTACATATTAGCTCCTAAATGTCCATATTACCACCTAAAATGTACATATTAGCTCCTAAATGTCCATATTACCACCTAAAATGTACATATTAGCACCTCAAATTTACATATTGCCCCTTAAAATGTACATATTACCACCTAAAATGGACATATTAGCTCATGAAATGGACATATTAGCACCTAAAATGTACATATTATCACCTAAAATGTACATATTAACACCTAAAATGTACATATTAGCACCTGAAATTTACATATTAGCACCTAAAATGTACATATTAGCACCTAAAATGTACATATTCCCACCTAAAATGGACATATTAGCTCATGAAATGTACATATTAGCACCTAAAATGTACATATTATCACCTAAAATGTACATATTAACACCTAAAATGTACATATTAACACTTAAAATGGACATATTAGCACCTAACATGGACAAAAGTTTACCTTTTGAAAAGGTACAGCCCCAGTGACAGCTTTTGTACCTTTTTTTCTGAGAATGTAGGGGTTAAGTGTCTTGCTCAGGGACACATTGGTGTCTCACAGTGGATTCGAACCCGGGTCTTTCACACCAAAGGCATGTGTCTTATCCACTGCACCATCACCACCACTAAAGGTTCACTAAAATATGCCCTCATCTTCTGAAACCATGCACATACTCGAGGTAAAACATTTTATTTGAGACATTTTATTTACTTTTGTAAGATAAACCTGGTTCTCTTTTTGGATAGTTTTGTCTATCCATTTATGATGTTTGTTTTTTTTTATTTTGGGGGTATTTTTGAATATATTTACTTCAAAAAGAACCATATTTTCTATGTAAATTATGCTTATTTTTAAGTTTTATTTTTATTTTATTTTTTTAACTACATTGTAAGATAAACCTGGTTCTCTTTCATGTCGGTAAAGTTTTGTCTATCCATTTATAGTGTTTTTTTTTAATTTTGGGGGTATTTTTGAATATATTTACTTCAAAAAAGTACCATATTTTCTATGTAAATTATGCTTATTTCTATGGGGTTTTTTTAGTTTTTTT